AGTGGCTTTATTTGATGAATTGTAGATAATTAGGCATTGTCCGCAAAGGTTCTCTAGTCACCTTTCACCTTTTGTTATCGGTACAATTTTCCAGTCTGACTTGTTGAAGCTAGTTTGCAAGAAAATACTCTTGCAGCTCCGGTCTAGGAGGGATGAAGACACAGGAGCTAGTATCCGATGAGGGTGGTAGTTCATCATCCGAGCAGCCTGGATTCTTTCCCCGTCCCAATGTCCTACCCTGTGCACCCCCAATAAACGGTGTCACTGGGATGACCGTACCCACATGGGTGCATCCGACACCTCCCGGTGCCTCCAACGATCTGTTCGTACATATACAGATGGGAGAGACATTGAATATCCTTGTTGGTAACGATGTTCAAAACATCACTGGTGCGTTATTTTTACCGCTTTGGGTTTCACCTTCCGAACTAAGACAATTCAGGACCTGCCACTGTACGTATGGTCGGTGAATGTGGTATGTCGCCTTCAGCACTTCCCATTCATGTACCTCCTGGGCACGTTATCCATCAAATTATCGATGAGCAAGTAAGTTTACAGATAAAGAATCACAGCAGACATTTCTGATTCTTAGCAACCTTCACCTCTCTTTATTTTATTTTTTTTGCTTGGCTCAATTGCGACGTCGCTGTTTCTACGACAACGTAGAAACAGCGACGTCGCAATTGAATGTGTAAAATCGTCGCAATTGAATGTGTAAAATCGTCGCAATTGTGTAAAATCACTTGCTTTTGTCCTCCTTCCTGCTTTTATCTCTTTGTATCCTCTACGGACAGCGGTAAATCTGGCGAAGAAGGATGCTTTGTTGATATAGTTTTGAAAAGCGCCTCCCTCCTTCTTACTGTGATGCTGCCTGGTTCCTGCAGCAAGAAAGACCGTCTACCATCTCAGAATTACAATTTGCTTTGGCGTAGATATATGGATACTCGGCAATAGCGCAATTTACAATTTGATGAAATTTGTGCGGGGAATTGTCGTCATGGATGATAGTTATAGGATGCCAACATCGGCAGCACGTCGCGTTTGCCCATTCTGGTCAACCCACGCGTTCGCGCTCGCTCTGTGTGCTTTGGCTTGTTGTTAGCTTCGGCTAAATGACGACGTCACAGCACGTCATCTGAAGGCGGTGCTGTGCTGCTCGTGAGATGAAAGCCTCGTTTGCCGGCAGATCTCGCCAATCCGGGCGCAAAA